CCCTCCCGCCGGGCCCGGCCGCTTCCCCCCGGCCCGTGGGCCGGCCGTCGATGGCAGAGCCGAGGGGCGCACCTGTACGCCCGCGCCCGCGCGCCTAGTCTCCCCGGCTTCCCTGTGCCTCGCCCCCCCCGGGCGGGGCTTCGAGTAGGGAAGAATCAGAAACAGCTGGGCGGCTTCCCCGGACGGAGGCCGGGTGGGGGTCCTGCGGAGAGAGTGGAGGCCCCGGAGCCATTCTCTCCGTGCCTTCCCACCCTCCTTCCCGCCCATTGCCCCTTCCTCCTCCCGGCCCCCAGCCCCCTCGCACGCCGCCTGGGGGCGTGGCAAGTCGAGCGGGGGTGGGAGGCGCTGACTGCGGACCGCGACTCCCCTCAGTTCCCGCCCCCACCTCGCACCCGCCCACTCCGCACTCCCCAGGCCGGCAGGTGGAGCCTCTGGGGGCAGAGCGGCCCTTACTGAGACGTAAAATTTCGTAAAACCCGGGGCCTTCCAACTTTGGGAGTTCGTCTGGGATCTGGCCCCAACCCCTCCTCCAGCCTCAGTTTCTCCTGCCCATCCCCTCATTCCCAGGTGTCTTTCGTGCCTCTCCCCTTGATTTATCTAAACTGTAAAGCCCTGGTGTAAACAACGCCCTGGAAATTGCCCACCCCCCTCAATCCCAAACTCACTGTCAGTTCCCGGTTGGGGGGTGTTAGAGACGCGTGAGTGTGAGCGGACAGGGCGCAGCTGGCTGCAGAGAGGCCGCAGACATCCCAGCGGCGGAGATGGGAGAGCAGGGCTCAGGGACCTCTATCCCTTCTCCACCTCTTTCCGTGTCGGGGCGGAATGCATTCATTCACTCGACGAATACTTATTTATTCCCTACCCTGTGCCAGGCTGTGCTCAGCACCAAGAACACATCAGTGAGCAAAACAAAACAATTTCTGCCCTCATGGAGTTAGTTTACCGTTTATTGGGAGATGATAGACAATACTCAGGAAACACCATAAGTAAAGCACAGTACGTAAGAAAGCTGTAAGCGGGGAAAATAGAGTTGTAAGCAGGGCGACCCAGGGGGCCTCATTAAGGTGACATCTGAGCACAGGCTGGAAGCGGCAGGGACAACAGGCAGGCACTTGGTGAAAAGCATCCCAAGCTGAGGGAAGAGCCAGCACAGGCTCCACAGTGGGTGAGGGCTGTGCAGAGCCAGCAGGGCAGCCAGCAGGGCAGAGGAAGCTGGAGTGGAGGAGTCCAGGTGGGCAACAGGGGTGGGCCATGCTGTGCAGGGGAGAAGGTGCCCACCCTTTGGGGGGAAGGTGGAAAGTGGAGTTGGATGGGAGTGGGGGGAGTTGAACACAGAGACCGACCAGCTGACCCTTGCCCTGCCCTTTTGTCTTTTTTCTCAGTCTGGGAGGCTCCAGTTGGTCCTTATATTTCTTGAAAAAGCAACAGACTTTATGCTGAGCTCTCCTGAGAGGGGCAGGTGAGAGAGGAGTGGACCCAGGCTCCTTCCTGGCCCAGCCCCTTCCTTTGGACCCCTCTTTCACCCCCTCCCGGCCAGCCCCACCCTGATGCTGGGCAGCCGCGTGCAAGCTCTCACAGCCTCTCCCAGACTCCCCTGTGTGCTTCGGCCTGGGTGTGACTCTGGCCCTGGGTTTATTACTACATATCGGCCTGAGGTTGCAGGGTGGGGAGCTGGAGATGATCACATCAGCCCTAACCTTGGGTGGACTCACCCACATGGGCTCCAAACTCACTTATGAGGCCCTTTCCTTGGCTTCAGCTGTCTTCACAGTCAAGTGGGACCGTGTCTTGGCACAACATAGATGCTCAACAATTAAAGCATGTCGTTGAGCTGAGCCCCCCCCCGCCCCCGCCC